ACGCAAATCTGGTTTCTTCACTACAAACATATTTAATGACCACCTACTATGTGTCAGGCATTTTGCTAGTGACTTTCTCTTCAGACTGTTATCTGTCCAGAAACCCCAAACGCAGCCAGCCTCTGCATCCTATCACCTGTGGCCTCGTGATGGAATGTCCAGTGTAAAGTTCAAGTCACTTTCTCCCTGCTCCCTCTCCTACAACCACCACACTGCCTGGTTTCCAAAATAGATCATCAGTGTTGGTGGCAGCCGTCCTGGGTTATAATCCCAGTTTTGCCATTTTAGGCTAGTTAATAGATCTCTCTCAGTTGTCGTGAAGACCGTTTAGCAGCGTATGCACACCACTTTAATGCAAAGTAAATGCGTATTCCCTTTTTTCTAGCCACTCTCAAAAAACACAGCCCAACAAACAAGCCCCAGAAACACCAGGGGAATGTGCCACCACACCCTCACCCATCACCCATCACCCATCACCAAGGGGAAGTCCTACAGTCCCTGACCAGAGCTCTTTGGTTTCAGCTCCAGTAATTCCTCCCTGGTTGGTCAGTTCTGAGGGGCAGGGCTGGAGTAGCTGAACACTCTTCTCACTTAGGCCTGACTCTGCAGAAGCTGCATTCTACATAGACCCTAGCCTTCACCATGACAACCAGCCTGTCCAGACTTGAGCCAGCCAGTCTGGGGAAGACTGGGGGGCTAGGCTGCTCAGGCTGAAAGTTAGCACCCAGAATTCTCCTGGTCTCTCCCTCAGGGTGCAAGACAAATCATTATTATACCCTGTTCCCTGTGGCACAGACATTCTGGGGCCTCCCTAGAGGCAGTGCCCCTTGACACTCCCCCCTGTGTCAGTGCCTAGGGGAGATAGCCAAGGGCTGAGAATTCTGGGAAGAAACATGGGGGTTGGGGGTGGAGAAAGCAAGGGTCAGCTAGCCCCCAGAGACCAGCACAGCCAGAGAGGAGCATCCTACATTCCCAGGAGAGAGGACAGCTGAGGTGAAAGCTGCAGTTGGCTGGCCTGTCTGTTGGTCTGGGCTCCTCCCTGCCGGCTGCCTTTGGCTGCCCACAGAAACCTGAGTCACAGTCACGGCCAGCAGCCCAACCCCACCCAGCCTGCTGTCAAGCAGCGAGGCTCTGGAGAGACGGGAGGTGGAGCCTCGTGTGTGTGTGTGTGTGTGTGTGTGTGTGTGTGTGTGTGTGAGAGAGAGAGAGAGAGAGAGAGAGAGAGAGAGAGATTGATTCCTCCTCTTGGTGTCTTTTTCTTTGGGACTCTTAGAAGTCATTAGTCCTGAATTAAGGGTGAGGTGAGGTCCATCTCAGGCTGATCTATAGGGTCTCTTCCTGGCTTACATGGGAATTTAAAGGCTCTTTATAAGCCCTGGCCAGGTAAATCAGTTGGTTATGGTGTGTTGTTCCAATAGGCCAATGTTGTGGGTTCAATCCCCAGTTAGGACACATACAAGAATCAACCATTGAATGAATAAATGAGTGGAACAACAAATTGACATTTATCTCCCTCTCTCCTTTCCTCTCTCTCTAAAGTAAATTTTTTAAAAAGATTTTTTAACATAATAAAGACTCCTTAGACAGCTACTCCCAGGGCTCAAAGTACAGCTCCCACCATTTTCCTAAATCAATTCCTCTCCACCACCCCTCAGGGCCAGGACATTTAGGAACACCAGGCACTCCCCCACACCCTGATCTTCTTCTCCCTAAAAAAGAACACAGCAAGGACAATTTCCCATCCCTAACAGGGGCTTTAGACAAAGACCTCTTCCCAGGAACCCAAAAGTTTGAACCTATTTAGTCTTGGATCTGAGTTTCTCCCCCTCCAGTCCCTCTCTGTTCTTCTGCTCCCCAAGAGCTGGAGGGAGGGAGGCCTTATTGTAGTTGGTGTCATCAACACCCTTGAGGACATTCTCCACCCTCAGCACCAGGGAGTGGGCCCTAGAGGCTATGGGTCCCCAGGAAAGCAGTATGGGTTGGAGACCTCTTCATGCAGTAGTACCTTGGAGATCAAGTAGGAGAATCTGGTGACTGTTCTCTGCTGTCCCTACCCCACCATGAGGCCCCTTCCACATCCTGCTTTGTGGGTGTGAAGGCAGCCTCCAGGGCCTTAGTCCTGATTCATACTCCTGTGGTGTCAAATCTCCCAGTGATTTCCTTCACCCTTTCATCAGATTCATCTTGAACCCTACCTCACCAAACCTAGGAGGTTGTACAAACTCCCGCCCTCCCTTTAAAAAGATCGGAAAGGGGACATATTTCTGATCTCCATTCAGTGACCTGCCCCCTAGCCCAGCCTGTGGTGAGACTAACGTCTTGTTCATGCCTGTTTCCCTGGAGGGGAGAGCACTGCCCGGGGTGGTAGGGCAGGCACTGGAGAGGCGACAGAGTTCCCTGCCCTTCATCTAAGATGTCAGGGCATTCTGTTGGAGCTTTAGCTCTGGATGTTGCAAGTGCCCTCACTTGCTTCTTCTCCGGGATGTTTAATATTTGGGGGGCCATGTGGGGGCCCTCAGGCACTGTCACTCAGGCCCAAACTCAGAGAGATGCCCATTCTAAACACTCGCAGTGGCTGAGGCCTGGGATCTGCCAGAGATCCTGGTCAGTTAGGGGGAGAATGGAGAGAAGTCCATCTGTCTCTTCTGACTGCAGCAATCACAGGACACGGGTGCTCTCCCAGCTCCATCCTCCCAGTACTCACTATGGACCCCTCAGCGTGCAGGAAGCCACACCACCAGCATCTTGTGAGGGGGTGCAGGTGTCCCTACCCTCAATCTAGGGAAGGGTTCCTCAACCTTGGCACCATTGATGTTTTGAGTCCTGATGGTTCTTTCTTTGGGGATAGTCCTGTGCATTGTAAGATGTTACATAGCATCCCTAGCAACTAAGCACTGGATTTCAGTAATACCCCCAGTGATAATCAAAAGTGCATCTAGGACATAGATAACAAAGCTGGGGACAGGGCAGGGAGGGAGAGGGAGGGGGAATGAGTGGGAGGGGGAGGAGAAACATCTGTAACAAAAATAAATTAATTAATTTAAAAAATAAATAAATAAATAAATAAAGGATCGCTCTGGGAAAAAAGTGCATCTAAACATTGCTGAATGACCCCTAGGGGGCTAAACTGCCTCTGGTTGAGAATCACTGAAGGCTACATTGCCTCTTTGCAGCCAGCTCCACAAAGTCAATCTCAGATCATTAGACATGACAGAGGATTTCTAGTTCTATAGCACTGCTCACCCTTCCCCTTCTGAAGAATCTTCAGCAGCTCTCCATGATCTACATTATGTAGATTGTGATGTCAACTGGCATTCCAATCCATCCCTGGCCTAGCTTTTCATTTGCAGCTACCATTTCCTCCTTCACTAATCTCGAGCTCTCGCCAATGAGGTATCTCACTACTCCCACATATGTCTTTGTCCTTGCAGTCAGCTCTAGATCAGAGGTGGGTATGGGGGAAGATCCATGGCAGAGGGCTCTCGCCCTACTGGGTTCTGTTCATGAATTCTCCTGAATCTAGTCAGTGCCTGGCTCAGGGTGGGCCTGTTCAGTTCTGGAAGATGCAGGCCTTGAGGCCTCTCTGACCTCACAAAGGACAGTCTCCATCATCCACATGGTTCCCTCACCCTCACCCTGCAGATGGGATGACTGACAACAAAGATGGAGGGTCTGCTCCTCATCATAATTTGCTTTTACTTTTGAAGCCCCATCATTATTATCATGCCTGTTGATTAAGCGTTTCCTATATGCCAGGCTCTATGCTAAGCACTTAATTTGTGTTACAATATTTAACCTTTACAACAACCCTATGATACCTCATGGTACCATTATTTTCCTGACTTTATAGGTGAGCAAACTGGGTTTCAGAAAAGTGAAGACACTAGTTTAAGGTTACCAGCTCCACCTGCAAGCCTTCTATCATCCTCTTCTAAAGATTTTGGGGCTAGAGGAGGAATATTCTTTCCCCAGCCCCTCCCCAGAGGGTTCAGTCCCCCAGCTACTCACTCCTCCCAGGTTGCCTGAGACCCAGATCCCTTTATTCTCCAACCTCTTTCTTGAAATGGTTGCTCTTTGGAGCTGCTCAAAGAGGAGACACTGGCGGGAACGGGGAGCAGGAAGGTAACGTCTCACTGGGCCTAATCTCTGGACAATGGAGAAGTGGAGAACTGACCTAGAGGTCAGGACAAAGGGCAGGGCTGGGGTGGGCAGGCCCAGTTGCACCTCCTCCTTCCTCTGTCAATCTCTGCAGCACCACCATCATCGATCCATCTTCCCAGCAAGCTCCCCCTTCTCTGCCAGGGCTGTGCCTGACTTGGCTGGAAGCCCACCTCAGCTGGCACTAACAAGGAATTGGGGGACCCACTCCAGAGGGCTGGGAAGAAGGGTTTCTTGGGGGAGGGGAGTTAGAGGGGCTTAGTCCCTCCTTCAACAGACCACAGGAGAGAAAATTCTTCGGAAGAGACCGAAGGGGTCATCTGATGGCGGTGGGGAGGGTCTGGGCCAGGACCACCCAGTTTGGAGCTGGGAGGGACCAAGCAGATTAAAGACCTGGGTGAAGCAGCGGTGCAGGCCTGTAATTACCCAAGAGGAGCAGGGACGACACCAACTGTAGGATGCTGGAGGAAGGGCGGTTGCAAGGCTCCCGAGCCTCTCCCTATCCCAGCCATGACCAGGGGAGAGAAAGCCTAGCCCTTTTAGGGGTATACATGTGACCTTCCTTCAGTCTTCCCACGCTCCCCAGGTGAATTTTATTTGAGGTGGGTTTGGGAGAGAATTTAGAGTTGAAGCTACCGCCAAGGCCCCAGAGCCGGTGCTCCCAGGCTCCAGGGTGGGATTGGGGGCTCCTAGCCCCGCTCCCCCCACTTCCCCCAGAACTGGTGGCGGGTGAGTCACCAGAGCGCTCCCTACATAGTCCTCTCGCGCGGCGGCGCGTACCAATGCACTGCCGCAGGGGAGGCAGCTCGATGGTGGTCTTCCCAGAGCCTTAGTGGCCCCTCAGCCGCGACCACAGGAGAGGCTACGGAGGCTTGAGGCCCGGCGGTCCAGGGTGGGGTCGAGGCGGGCGGGACGGGCGCGCGGCGGCTCGATCCCTGGGCACTGCGGGGGTGACTCTCCCCGCGTCGCACTTGGTACATGCCAGCGAAGAGGCCAGGCCCAGCCCGGGCGGTACAATAGGGTTGGGCCGCAGCCGGGACTGGGCCGGCGCCGGGCAGGGAGCAGGGTCGCAGCCGGAGCCGTCAGACTCTGGGCAGCCGGCAACTGAGCCTCGCAGATCACCAGCCGAGCCAGCCTCTACCTTCCCCGGAGCGCCCCCCACTCGGAGTCGTTGCCCGCCTGGGCGGGCTGGGCGTGATGCGCCGCGGGACCCCTGTCCTGGCCGCTGGCCGCCGCCGCCGCCGCCGCTGAGACTCCCCCCAAGACACCCCAGTGACGCTGCAGCCATGGAGAGCGGCCCACTTGCCGAGCCGGGTGCCGGCGCACCCCCAGGTATGCCGGGAGCCATGCAGAGGCGAGATGGGGGGCAGGTCGAGGAGCCTCGGGGGAGCCGAGGACGAGGCTGGCCCGCTGGGCGGGGACCCCTCCCCCGCCGCGCCCTGTGACCACTTGAAGTTTAAAAATAAAGGGCTCTGCGGTAGCGGCGACTTGGAGCCACTAATGCATCTTCTGACAGCTACCCCTTCCCCAACCTGGGAGCTGGGGCGCATTGGGTGGCGGGATCCGCGAGGACCCCGCTCCAGAGTTGTCGGGTGACCCTTCCGCCCCAGCCAGTGCCACCTCGACTTCCCCGCCCTCACCCCCCTTCCCATCCACCCAGGCCCTGAAGATCCTCTTCTACTGAACCAGGGCGTCTGTCCTTCCTAACCCCAGTCGGCACGTGTGACCCCAGCCTGAATATGTGTATTTGGGGGTCCAGATTCTCAGGCCTGGAACCCTGCATACCGAAGCTTAGGCGCCGGCCTCCCCCACGCCCAGGCCGGGGCTCAGACCTCACCCCCACCCCATCCCTCCAGCTGCCGCGCAAAGGGCCTGTTGCTGCTGCGGGCGGGTGGAGGGGAGGGGAGGGAAGGGGGAGGTCTCTAGCGGCGGCTGCCAAGTAACCCGCCGGATAAAGGCGAGGGGGAGGGGGAGGCAGCATTGTTTGGGGCGAAGGCGGGAGCTGGGGAGTGGGTCGACTCCCTTGCAGCCTGGCCTACTCCGGAGCCCACCCAACCCGATTTGGGGAGGAAGAGGACAGAAATAAATCAGCTTATCCTGTTCGTCCTCTTTCCCAGCCTCTCTGGGCCTGAATCTTTCCTTGGAGAATGAAGTGAAGGCTCCAGGCCAGCACTCCAGCGACCTGCCACATCATTCTTCAGCCTGAGACTTTAGATACATATCCCCTTATACGTAGACACACACACACACTCCCTCGCTCTCGTTCTTGGTCTCTTTCTTTCTCTCTCTCTCCAGGCCCCAGACCATCAAAGCTCTCCCTCCCCTCACCCCACCAACCACCAGCGCCCAGGACTTCTGCAAATCCCATTCGGATCTGGGAGCAGCTGATGAGGGGGGTGGGGACAGATTTCTGGTTGGGCCTGGTGTTGGAGGGAGGGATTTCTCATTCTTTTTCTTCCTGGAAGGGCAGGGAAGAGCATGATTACTGAGGACCCATGTTCTGTTCCCACTGACTCAGGGAGGAGGTGGCTCCATCCCCACACCTCCATAGAGTCCTAGAGCCTAATCCTCATGGCCACCTCCCTGGCCCCTGGGGCGTGGGCCCAGGATGAAACAGTGTCTGTGAGTGCGAGAGCCCAGGACAAGGTGGAGCGGCTTGGCTGTGGGTGAGCACCTCCCCATGCCAGCGTGGGTGCTCTGAGGGTACCCTGTAGGTGTGGAAGCTGGAGGAAGCAGAGGGGGGGAGGCTATTAGACTGGTGTGGTTCAGAAGGTCTGTAGGCTGTGCTGAAAGGGTGCTTGGGTCTGTCTTGGCTCTGCTGAGCCTGATAGGGGACAACAAGGGAGACGTTGGGTCCATCCCATCTGGTTACTGGCCCTCTGCACCTGAGAGTTCCCAGCACTGGTGTGTATGTCATGGCCTGAGTGAGGTCATGGCCTGAGTGATGGTGGTGACTAGGCCGTAAATGAGGTGAGGGCCTGAGTTGCTAGCTACTTTATAATTAGGGTACTTCAGTGGGATGCCTGGATTGAGTATGGGGGTATGGGTGGGATGCTTGACTACTAGGAAGCCTGCATGGGGCCTGTATATGGGGTTCTAGTTGGGAAGATTATTCTATATACAAGGGTCTGGATGGAATAACATGAGAACCTGGATCATAATGTTGCCTATTCCTTACACAGAGAGAAGTCAAAGTAGTAGAGGCCCCCTCTGAGCCAAAGACTTCCTAGGAATAAAGGTCCTGCCCACTACAAGTGCCCTGTGAGAATCCGAGGCATGGTTCTGAGACTGAGTGCCCGTGACATGATCCCTGCCCTCTTTGAGTTCCTTTTGCACACGGAGCATTAACAGGAGGCAGCATAGGGTAGGGGACAAGTGTGGCACCCGCCTTTGGGCCAGAAGACCAGGGTGGAAATCCCAGCGAGCCATTTACTGGCAACTGGACCGGAGCAACTGACTGACTTTCTCCAGATACAGTTTATGCCCCTGAAAAATGGAGGCTGTTGTCAGTCTTGGAGGAGTTAGAGTGAAGGTTAGAGATGAGGTATCTAAAGGACCCTGGCACACAGACACCCTCAGGACAGTGTTATTGCCATTATTGTGGTCATGCTCACTGGAACTGGTGCCAGCAGGGAGATATGGGATACATATGGGGAGGAGAGGGCAGGAATTGGAAGCTAGTTTGCTTAAGAGTATAAACTGGAGTAAAAGAGTTTAAGTCTCCACTTTATAACTTATTACTGTGTGACCTCAGGGAGGTTGCTTAACCTACGTCTTAAGTTTTCCCATCCATAACGTGAGCATAATGTTAGAAATTATTTCATGGAGACATTAGGGTCATTAAATTAGATGAACACCTAAAACAGTTAGGCTAGGCCCTGGCACATAGTTAGTGCTCAATAAACACTAGCTCTTTGTTTTTGTCAATTTTATTTTTAATTTTGTCAGAGGCCTGAGGAAGAGATGTGATTAATTAGAGGTGTGATTAATTCGCGAGGTAAATGTGGGACAGGGCAAGGAGGGGTACAACTTCTAGACAGACATGAGCCAGGGTGTAATGGCGCAGTGGGAGTAGGAGAGGACACAGGAGATGGGTGCAGCCAGCCAGCCAGCACACCCATGCTTGCCATGGGCCAGCTCACTGCTGGCTGTGCAGACAGCAGAGAAGTGGATCAGACAGCTACCCTCAGGGAACTGCTGGCCCAGTGGGGAGCACGTGTTCACTGCAGGGAAACCCAGGTATAACAGTGATCCAGTGATCAGAGGGCTCCACTTGTGGAAGGCTTCACAGAGGAGGAGGCATCTGAGCTGGACCTGAAAGGATGAGTAGAAATTGGTGAGGCTGGCACAATGGTCCACATCTCTGCATACAGTGTCCAGCCTGGCCAGCACCTCCCACCGACAGCTTCCTCCCTAAATGGGCTGGTGAGCCCAGTAATGAGGCCTCTAATGAGACCCTAATGCGCAGTCATGTATATGCAAACGAGGAGGAAATGGCACTAAGCCAGTTCACCACCTGCTTCCCCTTCAGGATGGGCATCAGTCAGTCGTTGGTGCAGCAGGGCTGAGGGAGTGGAGAAAGGAGCGGAAAGCAGGGCCCAGACTAGAAGTGGTGGCACTTGAGGGCAGTCAGGGCTCAGGTCTGATCTCGGCTGGAAGTTAGGCCACAAGCAGCTGGGAGCCATGGCCTTGGGTCCCCGCTGGGCCTTGGGGCCAGTAAGAGAGCCAAGGAGCCAGGCCCAGATAATGCAGCTTTGTTGACAGCGGCAGCTCTGCCTGGCACTCCGGGGCACAGCGGTTTCTCCATCCCCTCTCAGCTGCAGCACTGTCCTGAGGGGAGCAGAGAGCATGGTAGGGGTTAGAGAGCATGGTATCACTGCCCCCATCAGCACTCCTTGCCATTTGTAACAGCAGATGTGGACCAGGAATAGACTCCCTGGTGAACCAACTTATTTCCCACTCCTATCTATTAAGGGCCTTTGCACCAGGCACAGTGCTCAGCATGTCACATGCATTGTCTCATTGGATCCTCAAAACGTAAGTAGAGACTAGTATTATCCCCATTTTACAGATGAGGCTCAGAGAAGCAAAGTCACTTGCCTAAATCTACACAACTAGGAACTAGCAGGGGCAGGATTTGAACTTAGGTCTATCTGACTCTAAAGCCTGTACACCAAACCTCTATGCTGAATTATCATGGCCAAGCCACCTGGTGAGTCTAACCCACATCCATTGCACGGCTGGTCTTCTGTGGGCATCTTGGTCTTGGGGACCCTATGATCTTTTTTCTCTGGCAGGCAGAGGTAGAGCATGTGCCTCCCCTCTTCCCCCCACCCCCTGCCAAGTTGGAGTCTGAACAAGTCGGACCAGGAGGAGGTCTTGGCTCCAGGTAGTGTTGACAGTCCAGCCAATGGGCCATCCTCAGGCCTTGGCCTGAGGCTGGGCCTCTGCCCTCAGCATCTAGGCCTCAGTGTGGGCAGCCCTGCCCCCGCGGAGGGAGGGCCATGGTGGAGCTTGAACTGCAGGGATGGGGTCATTTCCTGCCGCCTAAAATAACAGGAAGTGGGTGCTCCTGATTGGAGGCTGGGAACAATGGCCGCCAACCCTCCCTCAAACCCTCCCGGCAGCTCCTTCAGATCTGCCGTCTCAGTTGGGTTCCCCGCTTCATCATCCACAGAGGCTGGTGGCTGGGCCCCAGTGCCCTGCCATGGGTCTGTGGCCTAGGTTCTGAGGACTGCTGGAGCAGGCTGGCTTAGCCGGAAGTAATACTGCCCCCTAAGGGCCCCCTTTGTCCCAGCCCCACAGTCAGGCATCCCCCAGGGTTTGTCCTTCCTGCCTACCCCTCATCCTCCCGGCAGATCTCTCCAGAAGGGGAAGCCCCAGAAGTTGCCCCTTAGGGTAGCAGAGTGAAGTTACAAACTGTTAAACTGATTCGTGTCCAAACTCCAGCTTTGTTACTCACCAGCTGTGTGACTTAAGCAAGTGTCTTAGTCTCTCTGAATGTATGTCCGCATCTGTAAAATGGGGTCATAGTATCTACCTCATAGGATTGTGGTGAAGATGAAGTGGACTGATTGATGTGTTTAAAGTGTCCAGTTGTAACCGACACAGCCTTAGTTGTTGCTGCTGTTAACTGGACTTTCCCTGGGCCCAGGGGGCAAGGCAGAAGTGACCTGCATGAGGTTGTATAAATATACAGGGTACATTGTGTCTCTGAGTGCTGTGTGGGTGTCTCTGAGGCACACAGAGGGAATCCCTGGCTCCGAGTGTGTGTGTAAGAGAGAGAGAGGTTGAGGGAGATGTGTCTTGTCTCTTGCCATTGTGTGGGCTCT